TATTTATATATATTATTATATTTATAATATGTACGGTTCTGCTCATGATGGATGTCATTTGTTTTTGTTAATAGAACATTTCACAGGCCATCGTCACTTAAATTTATTGTTGAAAAGATCGATGCTCATATACGCATATGTACCTATGTATGTATGTGTTACTTTATTACCTTTCATTTATTCGCACAATTATTTACAGACGACATAGATTATACCGTGTAAGCCCACGAGGATAATATGTACAAACCTTTATACAACTCAACTGTATGACTAATAAACAACATCCGTCGTACTGATTCCCAATAATTAATTTACTGCTTCGTATTTTACCATACTGTCAAAAATCATGAAAGAATCAAATAAGTGGGAAACAGTTCGGGACTTTAGCACATAAATATTATTCTTGAATTAAACTGTTTCTAATTTATGTACAAAATCACTCCGTTATATCGGGGGCCACCAGGCGCTTTCACTGGGGTAGAGCAGCTTCGGGCCCCAGTGGCCTCAAACCAACCCCGGCGGTTTAACATCTAACCCCGTCACCATATCCATACTACCGATTGGCGCAGAAGGGGGTGGCGTGTGGTTAATCGATGCCGGGCTATTGACGTTATTTGTAAGATCGCTTTGACTGTTCTCTTCGGAATCGCTGCATGACTCTGAGCTGCCCTTCTTGCCGTTTCCATTGTGCGTTTTCACATGTTTCGCTAGGTGGTCGGACCTCATGAAGCGTTTGTTGCATATCGGACACGCGAACCTTTTCTCTCCCGTGTGCGTCCTCAGGTGACGCTGTAGCTCGTCGGACCTCGTGAACCTCTTCCCGCAAAATAGCCAGTTGCACACGAACGGTCGCTCACCGGTATGCCACCGAAGATGCGCCTTCAAATGGGAAGTTTTCCCGTAAACCTTCCCGCAACCGGGTATGTGACAACTGTGGATGTTCTTCTTCCTGAGGTGGACGCCGGCAGGTCCGAGACGTTCAGCTTCCTGACAGTTCGGACAGTCGCAAGTGGCGCGACCGGTATACCTCCGTTGAGATCGAGGCGAAGGAACCTGCGTAGGGAGCGACGTCGCTGCTGACGTTGGCGAAGATGCCGAACCCGTGTGGTGGAGACCGAAAGACGCCCCGACCGATTGGGCACCTGGCAACATCGATTTGTAAGTGTCTTGAAGAAGGTGCTGACCAGAGGACAGAAGATGATTCGAAGCGGCCAGGGAATGGGTCAAGGTGGAATAATCGGACGACGCATAATTGGCCGCGGCCATTTGGGCATGCATACCAGCCGCTCCGCTCATGTCCAACCAGCTCCCGGCTGTTGCAGAATGGACGTCCCACCACGCGTTAGCTGAAGCGACGGAATCGGTTTTGATACCTCCATGGTGGGTCGCACTGGACATGGTGTTGAAGGGCCACGATTCGTAAGGATGTCGCGAGTAGACGGATCCCAAAGCCGCGTGATGTGCCGATGTCGTCCCATCAACTTTGCCCAACAGGGCACTCTGGTGATGGTGAATGTGGGAGTTTTCGGAAACACTGGGTTGTGAAGTGGCTCCTGGGAAATAGAGATCGCTGCCGTAAGATGAAGTGGTGGGAACGTTTGAGCACGACGTCATCACGGGTCGACTGGAGTAAGTACTGTTTGAGGAGGCTGAGGACCTTTGAGCAAGGGAACTCGCTACGGATATCCCGGTTGTGGCTTGGTTGGGGGACCCGGCTCCTTGGGGACTCTTTTTCCACGGATGGAAACCTTTTCCCACGGCGGCGTCTGCCAGAGGAGGTGGGGACTTGCTGGACAGTTTGTTACATTGGGCCGCCAACATGGCCAAGGGGGTGCCTCGAAGGCTGGGATGTTCCTGGAACAAAAATTTGCAAATCAGCTAGATTTCTCGACAATTACAATAGCTCAGGATTTGAGAAAAGGAATAATAAAATTATTGCTATTGGGATCCGTCAAATGGGAGGAGCCTAAAAACATGGCGCCGATTAGGGAAAATTTATCGTAGTTCCTATAGTGTACCGTGCAATTTCCAAGTTTTTAAATTACGATAAAATGATAAGTATTGACACAATATGTGATTGGGCTGACACAAAGCCTCGGAAAGGAAATTTCGTTAAAGGTGAGCGTGTTTTTAATGCCAATCACATTATAAAATTCGGAAATAACAAATCCGGAAGCTAGCCTTGAAATTCCGTCAAGTTTACTGCCTACTTTTTACAAACTTCGGATTTAAGAAGTGATTCACGTTATATAATTGGTGAGGTGATTCTGGGTGATTTAAGCAATATCATATCAATGACTTGCACGTGCAAAGCCGATTTAAGAGAACGTTGCAAACACATTATTGCAACTTTGTTGTATTGCAGCAGGTAGGTTCTTAACCCCAAAATACTTATATCATATCATTAGAATTGTGTTAAATCAATTACACAGGAATAAATAATTGCTCACTTTATAATTTTAGTATGATTCTAGTTATAAATATTAAGGTTATGGCTGATGGTGAATACTTGCTGAAATATAATCATGTGCATTTAAATGACGTGAACAAATTTTTATTCCGGAATTCACTTCTTTGAAACCTACTGCTTTCATCGAAGCTTCTATTAGTTTACTTTTTTCTCTAATTTTCCGAATATATTTTTTACATATATAAAACGGTTAGTTTTTATTGGAAAGTAGTAAATGTAGGTGAAGAGTGAAGATCTACCTCTGAAGTGCTATTGCAGCTTTTCACTAAACATATTAACTTTTTATTTGATTTAACTTTAGAAGAAAACTTCGTTGACTCCATCATCAAGAAAATTTTTACTTTTTTAACGTGTTTTATTATTTTAATAAACAATTTTACAATTTGCGTGCACAGTTCCTATGTAAATTTTTCCCTCATTCGAGTTATAAATTTTGCCACCAGATGGTGTATGCCCATTTGACGGATCCCAATATCTACTTAGCAGAATGCCACTGTTTTAATGCAAAATTAAGTAGCGGTATAATTAAACCTTTTAATAACATTTCCGCCTAGAATTTTTTTTTAATTTTCACTGCCTTTACACTGGGTTCAGTAGAGTGGATGTTTCAATTAACCGTATGTTTTTTTTTTGCCGAGTGGCGCCTGTGAGTTGCACATCTTTTGTTAGACATTCTAAATTAATTTGTCAAAAACGGCATAGAAACGCGTTATCGCATTGTAACGATCGCATTATCACACCACCGGATTGTTCGATGCGATGCGTCTATCAGGTAGTTGGCTATGCTGTCTCGTCTATTAACGATACGATCTCCGAGTTCCGATCCAGCCTTCAAAAGGTTCCGATTATTACTCATTTTTATTAGCAACTGACACGATCTACCGACGACGGTCTCTTTCTACCGCACCACGTGGTTCTTATGTTTTCAATTCGGCCGCTCTCTCTCTCATTTTCGACATTATTAATCCAGATTTTTAATGCACTCCATTAGCGTGGACCGTAAGTACAGCGCGTTTGCTCCTTTTCTTATCATATTGTCATCTTTTTCCTTTTCCCCTCTTCTTCTTGATGTATTTTTGTTTTGCTTTTGTCTTTTTTGGTCTTTTTCCCCGTCTGTTCCCTCGACGTCAACTCGAAAGGTTAATCAAAGTTCAGACGTCTCGAGAAAAAGAGAGACCGCCGCGGACCTCTAGATTAATTTTTGACATGCAAGATGATCGTGCTAAAACAAAAGGCCACTTCGAAAGTAATTAAGGAAGCGTATATAAATGTATGCGGGCAGGAAGGAGTTAAACGGCCAAGTTATTTACGAGAACGTGGAATTAATAACTAGTACGATACCAGCAAAAAAAGTAGGGAAAGAGTGAAGATAAAGGTAGATTCAAGATGGAAGAAGCAGTAGAGATATAAAACGAAAGATAGCGTAAGGTCAAGAAGTCATAGTTAAAATAATTCGAAGTGGTCTGTATTCTGTCGAAACTGCCAGACGCGGATCGCGATTTCGATCTTTTTGAATCTCATGAGCGCGTCGCAGACAGCTCCGACAGAACACAGCCTAACTTTTACCTGCTGTCTTAACAGTGCGTTTTAGAAAATACTACAAATGGCGCAGTAAACGCCATCTGTAGCACGATGCTACATTTTAGGATTACGTATGCTCCAACAAGGTCCACTTGTGTGGATATCTACTTGCTGAAAACGAATCCCGGCGTAGCCAACCTCAACGTGATAGGCACGTTAGCTTAATCGAATAAAATAATTCGAAGTGGTCTGTATTCTGCCGAAACTGCCAAACGCGGATTGCGATTTCGATCTTTTTGGATCTCACCACTTCGAATTATTTTATTCGATTAAGCTAACGTGCCTATCACGTTGAGGTTGGCTACGCCGGGATTCCTTTTCAGCAAGTACATATCCACACAAGTGGACCTTGTTGGAGCATACGTAATCCGAAAATGTAGCATCGTGCTACAGATGGCGTTTACTGCGCCATTTATAGTATTTTCTAAAAGTCACAGTTAATTCAGAAATTCGAAAGAGCTTGTTAAATGTGTACGTTTGGAGCAAGAAAAGGTTTGAAGCGCTTAAAATGTGGTGTTGCAGGCAACTGATTGAGGATACTGTGGATAGGAGGGAAGGTTAGAAAGGAGGAGGTTTTGAAAGAGTAGGAGAACAGAGAGCGCGATGGAAAACAATAAAATGAGACGAGGTAGGGTGGCAGAAAACCTTATTCTCATGCATGAAGGGCTAATTAGAGACATATGAGGAATACAGATAAATCTAGATTAGATTACTGTTCACAAATAGTAAAGATAAAGAATGTTCTAGTTTTAGGGAAATCTGTGATTAGCTTAGTATCAGGCTTTCAAGTTTTGGATCACGTCAGGAAACTTAACGAATTTGGATTTGAGATCGTCATGGAAATGCCAAAATTCTTTAAAACCAAAAACGGTGAAAAGCTGACTTATCTTCTCATAGTTATCATCATGAAGGACTTAAGCCTAAAGCACCACTACTTCTTTGTATCATGAGCCAATTTTTATTGTAATTGTGAAGATTAGTGAATATGGACTGGACATTAGTGAAAATCCACTGATTCACTTTAAGAAGATACGTATTGTAAAAAATTAACAGGAGCGACATTCATATGCACGTATCAAAACCGAAGACAAGAGACTTTGCCATTCTGACCGGCTGCCGCCAGTTTCTCGCGTTGTATCGTCACTATTCCGTTTTCGTTCATTTGTTTTTTTTTGTTCCCTCTCACAAAACACAATAATGATGACGACGGCACCTCGTGAGTAGCAGTTCTTTCTCTCGTCGTCGTTTTTGTGTGTGCGTGAGTGAGTGTGTTGCTTTTGAGCGACTGGCAGGCGCCAACATTTCATTAGTGCTTTTGATTAAAGCCGGTGTAGGTACGTCCGGAGACCGACCGCGACCCGCACTTTGGTCGGTAGTCGCTCACCAAAAGACGAACGGGCAACAGCAAAAGCTCCTTCCCGTCTTCTTCATCATCATCATCATCATCACGCGCCATCATCGCGCCAAAGGAGACGGACGCATTTACTGTAATTATAAAATACATACATGCATAATGATCTTTTTTTTTTTTTCCACCTTTCTCTCTTTGGAATTTGTATATCTCGAAGGTTTAGCGTCTTCTTCACAATGCCACTACTTCCTTATGGTCAATACAATGTTATAGGTCGTCAGTCCTAAGACTGTTTGGACACGCACCTCCACTCTTTCCTATCCAAAGCTAATCTTTGCATTTCCCCAAAACTACAACAAGCCACATCCTTAACTATTTGCGAGCAGTAATCTAATCTAGATCTGTCTCTAGTCCTCTTAACTCCTGTTTCTGTAACATCTCATATCTTGTGATACTAAGTAGGTCGCCGCAATGCCCTCTTCACCCAGAAGTGTGTGAGTGTGTCAATTGGTGATATTTTTGGGCTTGACTCTATTGTTGTCGGTTGTGTCGGTGCATTCACTTTTTAAGTCCAATTGTTCGATTTATTCAAGTCAGTGAATGTGTGTCTTTAAGTCTGTTCTTTGGTGTTCAATTGTTTACATCCAATTAATTATCAATTAAGCATCTAATTGTTTTGACCAATTTTCTTCAGTTTGGTAACTGCTGTAAATAATATTCGTTCAGCGATATTTTTTTTTTGTTTTTTTAATAGGACTTGAGCATGTCGTTTTTCACAGCGCCGTCCATAACGAGAACAAGTGAGTGGACTTCTGTTTATGTTATTTTCGAATGTAGAACACTCCCGCTAACAACGTAAACAACAATTCATAAACCCGGCGACGAAATTTACGGTCGAGCTGCCGGTTGGATGGTTTTGAAGCTGCTGCCCTGATTTATCCGGTGATTTTTCGACCGTCCACAGGTACACACTATATACATGCATGCATAATATAGAGAAAGACCGAAAGCGAAAGGTCTAGTGAAAGAGGAAACGAGAGAGAGAGAGAGAAGCAATTTGCGGGCGCTTCGTTATTCTCATGGTCCATGACACGTTATCCATTTTGCGGAGACCGAAAAGGACAATGCATGGGCTCTCTTCTCAACGTAATCCGCTTTTGAACAATTGTTGACATGCATCAGGTTGTGAATGTGAGTGAGTGGTGTTTATGCGACAATGTGAACATAAGGCTAATAATCGGGCCAGTTGGTTTGTTTGTTTGCTTGTTGGAAAATGGAACAGGGTGACGAATGATGGCCGGAAAATGCCACGATCGCATAGGAGTTTTGATAAAAAAAGCAAGGGGGCTGATGGACTATTGATCCATCTAACTACGAGTGTGGATGCATTTAAATTTTATATTAGGACAGTGTTATAGCAGTATTAGCATCTAGCAAGGAGGAATTAGAGAT